CATAGTGATGCTGGAAGTAAAACCCCTTGTGGAAAAACTGGAAGTCAGTGTACATGTTTGTACTGTTGCATTATGTGGAGCCATCTTTGGTATGTTTTTACCTCTTCTGTCTTTCAGAGACTATGGAAAAGAAGTTAGTAGAAGAAACAAAACAACTAGAACTCGATCTTAATGATGAAAGATTGAGATATCAGAACCTTCTGAATGAGTTCAGTCGCTTAGAAGAACGATATGATGACCTCAAGGAAGAGATGACTCTGATGGTGGTGAGTCAAATTCATTTTTTAATGAAAAAATTTAAACATATACAAAAACAGATAGAATATAGAATGAACTCTCACGTACGCCATGTACTACTCTTCACCCAGTTCCAAAATGGTCAACACATGTCTACTCTCCTTTCTACCCCTCCATTTCACCCCACTCAATGAATTGGATTGTTTTAAAGCACATCCCAGATCATATAACTTTATTCATAAATACTCTATAAAGTTGAACACTTTAAAGAATGGACTGTAAGACAGTATAAAGTCAATATAGCTGGACTTTGTTTTATGTATTGAATGACTGAATGTAAAATTTGCATATGAAGCAGATATTTATATAATTGAGTAGTTTCTCTACTGCTTTTTATTATAATTCCAAAGACATTCCTACAAAAAGAAAATTCAGCTTCTATTTGTGATAAATTATCTATTTCAAAGACTTCTCTGCATCTGACAGTGTACCTTCTGTACTTGTAATAGTTCTGCACACCCTCCCTGTTCTTCTTAACCCACCGTAGAGAACAAAGAGTTTTTTCCTAAAATGTCAGCCTTATAGGTAACCCGTGGAACAAATGGCCAGAAATGCTCTGAAATATCTGATAGAAAACAAGATACTTTGCCATCTATGGGGTATTTGCTTCAAATTTTGCTTCTATCTGGATCCTCTGACAAAGTTCTTTAAAATGTGACATTTAAATAGTTAAAGTAAAAGAGATTATGTAACAAAAAAAATAAAATAAATTTATCACCTCGTAAATGAGAAAACCTAGTCTCAAAGAGGTTAAAAAGCTAATTTAAATCCCACGGTTGGACCATTATTTCAAACCTCACTACTCTGATTTATATGTGACAAAATGGAATTAGAAGTAGGAGTAGGTCACCATCATCCTTACAACCAATAAATCGGAAGGACCCTCGGTTAAATCTTGTCTTCTTTGATCTCTCTGCTGTGCTTGGCCCTGTTGAAATTTTTCTCCTTTCACATTCTCTCATTCTCAGCTTTCTCTAGAGTCCTTTTCCTTTGTCTTTCAACATCATGTTCCCCAGGGCTCCACTTTTGAGTGTATTTTTATTCTATTTACACCATTTATGTTTAAACTATGCTTTAGTTATGCCTAGAGCTAAGCTTTGTATCCTACTGGGTGTTTCTGAGGCCACTAGTTACTAGGGATGTTAAGAAGTGGCCCTGGGAAAAGAAATGATTGAGGTCAAATAAATGTAGGTATCAACTAGTTTAAACAGATAAACAGATTTTTTTTTTTCCTACAGAATTTTTTTGGATTCTTTAATAGTATATGCCTTGTGAATCTCAGAAAATAAAGTGAGGAGCATGTGCCATTTATATCACTCTCTGGGCACATTCTAGAGACATCTGTGAGGTTAATGGGTCTCCTTAGTCAGAGAGGGAGCCATCTCTAGGAAATACCCTCTAGCAATGGCCATCTTTCAGCAGCTTTAACAGGGCTAGTCCTTCCTACTAAGCAAGTCTGCCTGCTATCCATTCTGTCCACCGCAGTGCTGTGGAAAAAGATATAATCAAGTTCCGAGGGTAGTTAAGCTGCTTGATTTCTGATTTCTCAGCCTATAACCCTTTATATCATATGCCTATGACTCATTGTCATTCCTCTTGGGTAACAAATAGAGGAAGAGAAAGGAAAAATACAGCGGAAGGAAGCTCAGAGATTGCTTGCTTCCTAATCTTCTCTTCAGTAGGTCTCATTTCCTAGCTCCAGATGCAATCAAGATCACAGACTTTGCAGAAAATAAAAAAATTTGTCTATAGAATCCAGGACTAATTAAAATATTAATAGCTACATCTTATTTTAATTTTAATTTTATTTTATTTTATTTATTTTTTAGGCGAGGCAACCCTTGGTTGACCTCACAGATTGCAACTACCTTGTCAGCTTACAATCCCTTATTATTTAATTTTTTACGCCTACAGCACCTGGTCTTCCTAGGTGGTCTCCCATCCAAGTACTAACCAGGCCCAACCCTGCTTAGCTTCTGAGATCAGACAGGATCGGACTTGTTTTAGGGTGGCATGGCCGTAGTTATTTTAATGTTTAGATAGAACTTCACAACTTACCCAAATGTTGAGATGGGTACTTGGCTAATATTTCATTGACACTGTTCTACAAATGGAGCTCTCACTGCCACAATGCTAACAAAACATTTTGTAATAAATAGACTCTTCAAGTGGAAGGTTGGGAAAATTAAGGGAGGAGAATCAATAGACTGCCTCAGGGCTTCCCTTAATCTATGCAGATACTGGGGCCAAAGGTAGTACCACTGATTACCACAGTCTAGATTTGTTTTCCCTGGTACCAAAAAGTATTGTGGGATTTTTCTCCTGGAACATTCAGTTGTAAGGCTGAGGCAATGAAGAAAGGACTGATCCTGGGCTAAGGATTTCAAGCCAACAATGAAAGGATAGTGAGGCAAGGGAATCCAGGCTAGTAAAGTATTTGAAGATAAATTAATCCGAGTAAGGAGGAAATCCAGCAAGTTAACAATAGGGTCATTAATCCTAACAAAGGGACTAAAACAGATTCAAGAAAAGAAGGAATTTTAGAAGAAATGACAGATAAGGAGGAGAGGAGGTACTGCTTGCAGATCTTGAAGAACATGATGATCAAGTCAAATGTTTGTCCTTGTAATTGAATAATATATTGAATAAAAACTGAACATAGCATATATTGAAAAAAACTGAACATAGCATATTGAACAAAAACTTAAAGACCACCAACAAGGAATTGTTGAATTACTTCAGGGTCCTAACAATTGTAGCAGCATCGGTTACCATCAGTTGAGTACTGGTTATACTTAAGCTATGCTAAACTCTTTACTTGCACTATCTTATTTAATCCTCACATAAACTCTGTGAGGTAGATAATATTATTATCCTCTTTTTCTGATTAATGAAAGTGAGGCCCAGGGAAGTTGGATAAGAGATAAGTGGCAGAGCTAGGATTTCTACCCAGCTCTCTCCTGTTTCAGACTCAGAGTACTTAACCACTGCCATGTATGTTTCTAAAAGTTACATTAAATAGCAAATATACAGTATTGCTTCTATTCATACCTTAAGGTATGTTTAATAATACATACATAGGAGTATGTATGTATGTAAATAGGGGCCTTACTCATCTTTAATAAGCTTATTAAAAATCTTTGTCCTTATGGACCTACCTATTTTTCATAGTGACACAACAATTTATTAAACACCATCCTATACAATTATGGTCTTGGGCTATGAAATTTAAGTAAGAGTGCCTGTGTGTGTAAACAGAGTAAACCTGAGTGCCTTTGACTTTATGTGTGGCACGTCTTTCCTTTAGTGTGCACCACAGCTGCTTGATAGTTTAGATGTTCTGGTGTTCTTGGGTCTTTCCTATGCACTGGAGCACAGGTTAGGCTGGACTGGGAGATTTTCAGCTGCTCCCAGATGCTGGCTTTTCTTTCGTTGCACAGATGGATCTGTGCTCTATAAGCCTGGATGTTGGAAGGAAAGAAGTGAAGAAGCTCTTTGTGGCTTGACTCTTCCGCAGCTGGGAGGAGTAAAGGAAACTAGATAGACCAGAAAGCTCTCAGAGGCCCTTTGAAGCTCCCAGGATTGGTAACCCTGCGAGATCTTGGCTGC